CCGTGACAATACGTTTGGCTCTAAATTCCACAGATTTGATCCGAGGTTCATCAACATCACTATGATCGATCATTGCCTGCCCCTTGAACAGGAAGCCATGATAATTGCGCAATAGCCTCTATAGCGCCCCCTAGAGTATTTTAAAACCTCGGCCCCAAGACATTTTTCGACCGATAATTCTGAAACTCGTTGAACATGTGTATCTTCTCAGGACCTATGAAAAAGTCTCTTGGAGCTCAGGTCCAAAACCAACAGGAAGTCGGCCATTTTGGGTCAAAGGTTAATTTTTGGGCGTTTTTAATGGCGAATTTTAACGAACTCCTCCTAGGGATTTTGAAGGATTGCCTTCAAACTTGGTTAATAGACCTTTAAGACATTGGAGAGTAAAAGTTATCAAAAGCTTTCGGTTTCGTTTTGTTAAAGGGGCGTGGCCAGGCCTCAAAGTTGAGCTTCACGCCATAAATTTCTAAACGTTATAACTTTCAACTTGAAAAACAGATTTGCACCAAATTTGGCACGAGTCATCCCTGTCCCATGCCCGACGATACCCTGAGTCATATTGTGACGTCATCAAAGCCCCGCCCCCTCAGAACAGGAAGTGACTTTTTTTAATTGGAATGCTCCTTCTTTGACACCCTTAATCTAATCAGGATGATCCTGTGTTGGAAGACAGATAACAAGATGGTCTGACTTGATTTAAACTACAAACAGTTATAGCTGGAGGATGTGGGCGTGGCGCCATTGCGAATTAAAAAGAGACGCGGTTGCAATACGTTTAGCTCTAAATTGCACAGATTTGAGCCCAGATGAACCAAAATCACTATGATTGATCATTATCCACCTTTGAACAGGGTTCCATGATAAGTGGCCAAGAGCCTCAACAGCGCCACCTACATTCTTCTTACAGTTATATCTCAGTGATACAACATCCAATCTGAACCAGATTTTTGGTGCGTCGTTACTGAGAACTGATGGACATTTTAGTTTTGTTGTTTAATATTTGACTCAAGTGCGCCCCCTACATTATTCAAACTGTTTTGTCTCAGTGATATATCAGCCGATCAGCACCAAGTTTATGGTGTGTTATTATTTAGCCCTGGTGGACACAGTAGTAATGTTTTTAAAATTTTGACTCTACAGCGCCCCCTACAATATAGCAACAGTTATATCTCAATGATAAATCATCCGATCTGCACCAGATTTTTGTGGCATAATGTGTGACCATGTCTACACACATTGTTATTGTTGTTTAATATTTGACTCAAGTGCGCCCCCTAGATTATTCAAACTGTTATATCTCAGTGATATGTCATCCGATGTAGACCAGATTTTTGGTGTGTGATAAGTGAGCACTTAAACACGCAATGGTATTGTTGTTTTACTTTTGACTCAAGTGCGCCCCCTACATAATTCAAACTGTTATATCTCAGTGATATATCGTCTGATCTGCACCAGATTTTTGGTGCTGGACTAGTGAGGACTTATGGACACAGTTGTGTTGTTGTTTAATATTTGACTCAAGTACGCCCCCTAGATTTTTTAAACTGTTATATCTCAATGATATATCATCTGGTCTGCACCAGATTTTTGGTGTATTATTATGTAGTCCTGATGGACACATTAGTAATGTTTTTTAACTTTTGACTCTAGAGCGCCCC